TCCGTGGCCCCCAGGGACTTGGGGACAGCCTCCTTCTTCATTGTTTCTGTTGAGTTTGTGAAGCGCAGAGGGAGTGGATGCCTAGACACAGTTTAACGGACACAAAGATTTGTAGGGAGTGTAGAGGGGCAGTGGAGGTGGGGGGGAGGGGCTTTGGGGAGTAAACGACAGGGAAGGAGCACTAGAACTGAATGTGATGACTCAACTCATTTTAAAGGTGAATTAATCATGGGGAGGGAAAAAAGACAATGTTCTGAAATGGATTGTGGCAATGATTGTACAAATCTTCTTGAACTGATTGAATGATTGCATTGTATGATGTGGTTTATGTGGTGAAAAAACTGGAAGAAAACAAAAGTTACATCTCAGAAAGCACAGGAGCAGTTCTACCCTGTCCTAGAGGGTCACTGTCAGTCAGTATGGACTCAATGACAGTGATTTGGTCCTTTAAAAAGGAGCCCTGAAAAAAAAAAAAAAAAGGAGCCCTGAGGGGACAATAGGTTGGAACAGACTAGGCACAGTTGGGTTGGGGCTCTTTAACCCCCTCCACTCCTGGCATTGAGATTTAATTTTGCCTGGATCCACACTCAACGCTCATGGAAGCAGCAGTCAAGAGATCAAAGGACGCATTGCACCGGTCAGCCTGCTGCACGAGACCTCTTTCAAGTGTTGAACAACAAGGAGGTGACTTGAAGGACTGAGGGGCACCTGACCCAAGCCATGGTCTTTTCAATGGCCTCACATGCTAGACACTAAATAAGTGGGACACTGAGCATTTGAATTACAATGCTGGCAAAAAATGTGCAAGGTACCACAGACGGCCAAAAGAGCAAACAGCTGCATCTTGGAAGAAGAACAGGTGGCCGTGTTGTCAGGAGACAGCAGTCTCTGGAGAAGGACATCACATTCGGTGAAGTGAAAGGGCAGCGACGAAGAGGAAGGTCCCTGAGGAGAGGGAGTGTCACCGTGGCGGCCACAATGGGCTCCAGCCTAGGACGGCTGTGAGGATGCTGCAGGAGAAGGCCGTTGGTCACAGGGGCACCTTGAGTCGGAAATAACTGGATGGCACCTAACAACAATGACCACTTGCGATGTCTTGATCTTGAAGCCCGTGGAGACTAGGACGCTGTTCCAGACAGGCAACCCAGAGCCTGGCAGGGAATCGGTCAGCCAGTTCTGCCCCTAAACACCGGTGTTTCACTCACGAGAGAAGCACACACACCGGGACACAGGGACAACACTCTGGGAGGCTGGTGGCATGTCCCCAGTGGCTAGGAGTCCCGTGTGCAGGTGGGTGGGGAGGGTCTTCATTTGCTCACTCAC